TCCACCATAATTTGCAAATAAATTCATAAAAAATCCTACAATGTGATTTTCTGGAATTTTTCTCTCTCAATTTGTCTGTCATAGTTGACGTGTACCTATGATGAAAATTACAGGCCTCTCTCATCTTTTTAAGTGGGAGAACTTGCACAATTGTGGCTGACAAAATACTTTTTTCCCCCACTGTAGGTGTTCCTTTTGTCCAGGTGGGAAAGGGCAGTGTGGAGTGCGATTGAGATTGCGTAATCTGTGGATCTGTTGGGGCGGTATGCGAATTGGAGTGGGTCTAGGGTTTCCGGGATGATGGTGTTGATGTGAGTCATGACCAGCCTTTCAAAGCACTTCATGGCTACTGACGTGAGTGCTATGGGGCGATAGTCATTTAGGCAGGTTACCTTCGCTTTCTTGGGCACAGGGACTATGGTGATCTGCTTGAAACATGTAGGTATTACAGACTCGGTCAGGGAGAGGTTGAAAATGTCAGTGAAGACACTTGCCAGTTGGTCCACGTCCTGGTAATCCGTCTGGCCCCACGGCCTTGTGAATGTTGACCTGTTTAAAGATCTTGCTCACATCGGCTATGGAGAGCGTGATCACACAGTCGTCCGGAACAGCTGGTGGTCTCATGCATGCTTCAGTGTTGCTTGCCTCGAAGCGAGCATAAAAGGCTTTTAGCTTGTCTGGTAGGCTTGAGTCACTGGGCAGCTCACGGCTGGGTTTCCCTTTGTAATCCGTAATAGTTTGCAAGCCCTGCCACATCCGACGAGCGTCAGTGCCGGTGTAGTAGGATTCAATCTTAGTCCTGTATTGACGCTTTGCCTGTTTGATGGATCGTCTGAGGGCATAGTGGGATTTCTTATAAGCATCCGGATTAGTGTCCCGCTCCTTGAAAGCGGCAGCTCTAGCCTTTAGCTTGGTGCGGATGTTGCCTGTAATCCATGGCTTCTGGTTGGGATATGTACGCATGGTCACTGTGAGGATATCAGAACAGTATCAGAGATCAATATCAGAGATCCTGGTGTCAGCACTGTGTGAATTTGTATGCTTGTGTGTGTGAATGAAGCTGGATAAGGCTGACAGTATGACCCTTTGAACTGCAATGGGGAGTCATTATGGTGACCTTCCAGTAGATAAGAGGGCTGTTACAGTCCTGTGTTGTTCTGTTCCTGGTTAATTAAACCCTGTCAGCTTAGCACACCTATTCTGCCTCTATGGACCACAGGATGGATGTTACCACCACATGTCACTAACACTGGTAGCTATGATAGATTCATTGATTTCTATACTGAACAAAAATATAAACGTAACATGCAACAATTTCTAATATTTTACTGAGTTACAGTTCATATAAGGAATTCAGTCAATTGAAATAAATTCATTAGGCACTAATCTATGGATTTCACATGACTGGGCAGGGGTGCAGCCATGGGTGGGCCTTGGAGGGCATAGATCTACCCACTTCGCAGCCAGGCCCACCCACTGGGGAGCCAGGCCCAGCCAATCAGAATGAGTTTTTCTCCCTCAAAAGGGCTTTATTACAGACAGAAATACTCCTGTATTTCAGCTCATGAAACATGGGACCAACACTTTACATGTTGCGTTTATATTTTTGTTCAGTGTAGTTAACACTGGTTTCCTCCTCCTCCTTCTCTCTCTCTCCCTTTATCTATTTTCAGGGTGATTATTCATGATACGATTCATAATACAGACCAAATCGAGAATTCAATAAATCTGATTTTTTATATCAATAAAGACTTTTGACAAGTCCCTCTGTGCACCTTCTGTGACATCTGGGAGATTTTAACCCACTTAACCCCCAAACTTCTCCAAGTTTTCACGATCATTGTAAAGCCCTAGTTATTTTGTTCCTGAAGATTATTATTTATTTAATGTGATTAGTGATTCATTTACAGTATGTGCCCTCATTTTAAGGTCAACCCTGTTATGTGAACTGAACTCTCATTTTAATATAGTGTAACATTGAACATTAATAGTCAAATCAGCGTAAAAGCAGGTGAGCTGGTGGGCATTTTCTGGTGTTTTGTGGTGGGAAACTGAGTGGGTCGAGCATAACACGTCAACCTGTTACCCATAGACAGAAAGGCTAGAAAGGTTTTAACAAAAAATTTCATTTTTTTTTTTTAAGCTTGCATTCAATTGCCACTCCCTGTTGAACACACACAAGCTTCCATTCCCCCTATCACACTGGGATTTCTGGCTGATTTAAGATGAAGTCGTCAACCTTGTTATTGTCAATCCTGTTACTTTATAACCCTGTGAATTCCGAACAACAGTAAACAGCAAATACTGTACACTGAACATCACAATCATTCCAATGCTTTACACAGACATGCATTGTGTAGTTATTCTAAACACATTTCTATACCTTGTTATCTTGCATTATCTTGCTACCCTGCTTCATAAACAATGTCTGTTACTTGAAGTGGGTAAAAACAATTATGTGTCAACATTTGTATAATTTGATAAATGTCTGTTTTTCCCCACAAGGTTCAAGGCAAATCCACAAATCATACTCTCCCTTTATTAGAACTCTTACCGGCTCAGGAATATACAGATTTTAGGTGGGATGGAACAACCCCTAAGTGAATTCATACCTCTGAGTATATGATATTCGGAACATTACATGACTCTATCAATGTGGCTGCCTCAAGCTCGAGTTTACTGTAGCTACAGGAGAATGGTCAGGAGAATTGATTTGTATATAGCGTAATGACTGGCTTAGCCCACTACTTGTGACCCTACTAACAAGTATCTTCTTGACCCCTTTAGCACAATGGTAAGATGAATGGGCTTGATGCATTATTGATTCCACCTGTCTGCACTCTGTTGCCATATACACCTAGTGTACAAAACACTGCTATTTCCATGACATAGACTGACCAGGTGAATCCAGGTGACAGCTATGATCCCTTATTGATATCACCTGTTAAATCTTCTTCAATCAGTGTAGATGAAGGGGAAGAGATAGGTTAAATAATGGTTTTTAAGCCTTAAGACAACTGAGACATGGATTGTGTACCATTCAGAGGGTGAATGGGCAAGACAAAATATTTAAGTGCCTTTTGATGGGGTACAGTATTAGGTGCCAGGGGCACCAGTTTGAGTGTGTCAAGAACTGCAACGCTGCTGGGTTTTGCACGCTCAATAGTTTCTCTCTCGTGTGTATCAAGAATGGTCCACCACACAAAGGACATCCAGCCAATGGCAGGCCAGTGGTCGAAAACATGTAATTGATGAAAGAGGACAGAGGCTGACACGAATTGTGCAGAGAAACAGACTGGCTACTGTTAGTCAACTGACAGTTCAGTACAACATTGGTGCCCAACGACTGGTGCCCAAAGACTGGTGCCCAAAGAAACTGCGATTGCAGTGGGCTAAGGAACGAAAACACTGGACACTGGAGAATTGGAAAAACATTGCCTGGTCTGATGAATCCCAGTTCCTGCTGTTTCATGCTGATGGGAGGACTAGGGTATAGAGAAAACCAAACAAGTACATACATCCATCATGCCGCGTGTGAACATTGCAGGCTGGTGTTGGTGTGGGGTATGTTTTCATGGCACACATTGGGCCCCTTGATAAAAGTGGAGCAACATTTGAATGCCACAGGATATCTTAACATCATTGCCAATCAGGTGTATCCCTTCATGACATTAGTGTATCCATCTGCGAGTGGAGTTTTTCAGCAGGATTATGCCCCATGCCACAAGGCTAGGATTGTCCAGGAATGGTTCCACGAACATGACAGTGAATTCAGCTTACTGCAGTGGCCTGTCCAGTCACCAGATCTCACTCCAATTGAGCATCTGTGGGATGAGATGGAATGAGCTATTCGGAGTAGAGATCCACTACCAGCCAATTTAACACAACTGTGGGAAGCATTGGAGTCAACATGGGCCAACATCCCTGTGGAACGCTTTCGAAACCTTGTAGAGTCCATGCCCTGACCAATTGAGGCTGTTCTGAGGACAAAGGGGCGTGCAACTCAATATTAGGAAGGTGTTCCTAATGTTTTGTACACTCAGTGTATTATAATATACTGTAGTTGTGCTTCGGTTTTCAAACCTGAATGGCTGAGGTGAATGCATGAATAGTAAGTACAATACAAATTATGTTTTTCTCCATGACATGCACTGAATGTAACAGTCCTCTGGACTGTTTGTCTTTCGAGTGAAACGGCCAACCATTTTATTGTACCACCTACTGCATCTGTACATTGTTTTGTAATTTGACAGTTCTGTATAGTGATTTGTGGCTATGGAGATCATCTCATGCAGCCTGGCATTGTAAGGACACAGTGTTGCATGGAAAAGCAATCTGTAGGCAGACAGCAGGCAGTGTGACATAAGCAGCATGGTGTATATATCAGGGGACACCCAAGGGTTTTAATGGTTTGTAGAAAGTTGTGGAACGGCGCTTAAAATTAGTTTGCCTTTCCATTTTATAGTAATTGAAATAGAATGGCATGTGCTTAACTGTTGCTGTATAACTGGATATCCAAAGTTGGCAGAAACCTGTTGCAGCCCAGTTGATTCTGTTCTGCCTCCCTCTGGACCTCTTGGATACAACGAACCATTCATGTAAGCTCGCAAGATCAGGGTGGCTCCGAAGGCTACCTCTGAACTTCCTTAGCCAAGGTGCTTAATGCTGTAGATTAGGCCCAGAAAACATGTGTCTTTTCTGGGTAAAGTAATCCTGAAGGATTTGATCCCTTCAACCCTTGGCTTCCATAAGAGTTTTGTCTCAGGTTGGGCTTGGCCCCTAATTCAAGTGCCTCTTCCCATGCTTCAACAATGTCCTCAAAATGTCAAAGATGGGCGTACAGTCAGAGGGGAGACATTTTGGTGGTGCTGTTTAGCCTGTCACTGTCTTCACCTGACAGAATGAGTAGGTCAGTCTACATACTCCTTAGTACCACTCATTTCCAGGTCTGCTCTCCCTCAGCCCTCCGAATTTACAGATGTACTTACTGTCAGCACCAGTCATCTACCGTCACCTCCAGTCTCTTTGGTCTGGTCCACACTGGGGGCGTCAGAGTCCTGCTCTCCGCTGTGGGGGCCCTGGTGGGCGGACAGGCGGTCCAGAGACCTGGGCGACATATCAATGTCCCTTCTCCTATAGCACCAGCACATGGCCAGGTCGGCCCGGAACGAGGGCGTGTAGAAGCCATAGATGACCGGGTCAAAACATGTGTTCAGGTTGCCGAAGACAAACAGGGCGTGGTGGATGTATTCAGGCGTGACCTGCAGCATCTCCGGCTGGAACCAGTACCAGATACCCAGGAGGTAGTAGGGCGTCCAGCAGACCACGAAGGACATCACGATGATGATGGTCATCTTTAGAGTCTTCATTCGTGCTTTGGGGATCATGTCTGTACCACTGCGTCTCAGGCAGGACTCGCCAGCTGGAAAAGTATGGCACTGGTTAGTAGCATCCTAAAGCTAATGCAGCTATCATATCTCTCCTAAACATTGTCAATGTATAATTAATGTTGGAACAGCTTATAGGCCTCCTGAGGTTGCCATTTTGGCCATGCAAGTATTGTGGTTGCCAGATTGGAATAGCTAACTTGTACCTTTGTTCCTGTGGAGTTGCTGATTGATCTCAATGAGGATGCGTGTGTAGCAGAAGCTCATGACCAGCAGCGGGAACACGTAGAGAGTGACGAAGTAGAACATGTTGTAGACCGTCTCCTGCCATCGCTCTTTGAAACTGCCATGGGTTACACACTGGGTGAAGTCTACGCCCTCGGCCTTGATGGCCCGGAAGATGAACAGCTGGGGAACAGGAAGTCAATGAGTAACAACAACCACAACATCTAAGATGTATGACAATCCACCTACTGTAAATACAGTAGTACCTTTCACACAGGTATACACTCGGCTACTACAGTACTACTTTAGGTTGTGTTGGGGATCATTTAATCTGCCTTCAAAGTATAACACTCAGTTGAGGTGTTGGCTGCTATTTTGTGCCAGAGCACTGGCCAGAAAAGGGGTGGTTTAATGAGAAAATGCAGTGGCTGAGTCATGTCTGCAGTCTTTTCTGATGAATTAATGCAGTGGTCAGTAGCATTTTATTGAATGCTTGTCACAATAACTTTCAAGGTGGATCCATATTCTGAAATGGCTTTCAAAATGATTTGGGGACATAAATCACCATGACAGACATATATAAATATTGAATTGATTTATGGTTTACAATTTTATAATTGTATCCAATCTGAGTTGGGGGCAGAGTTGTGTTAGTTTTTTGCACCAATGCAGTTTTACTTGTTTTCCAATTCCCTATGTATTAACAAAACATTTGATTGTTTTCCGTGTTTAAATACTTGCTTTTACAACGTCTCCCTCCTTCCCCGGCTGATGTTGCACTTTCCTAATTCTCAGTAATATAATCACATTTCACACTCTGGGGGGCACAATGAACTAACTAATATCAGCATGCTAGGAATTTAAAGATTTTTTCGCTGAAATGCCTCCTCATTTCCAGGAAGACTCCAGAAGGCATATCCCTATCTGTCTATCTACCCCCTTGTCCTTGCCCCTTTGCTGCATACGGGCGGTGATTACGTGGGACCTCTGACGGTGCGGCACTGATACGTAAATCCTGTCACGCCCCTCTGCACTCTGCAGCCCTGAAAATTAAATTACAGGGGAAGAGCCTGAGGCGAGACGTTCAAGATACTCATGCTCTGTGGTGAATCACTCGCCTAGCAGCAGGTGCACTGATAAAACTCACAGCAGCCCCAGCGCCACTCTGACAGCAAATTAGGCTTATTTGTCTCCTCAGATTCATAAATCTATCCTCATGAGGGACGCATGCCATTTCCCCCCCCTTTCAACATCCCGTCCCACACCCTGACACTCTCCCCCCTTCAAGCGCAGTCACTCTCATCCAAACAATGTAGAGAAGTCTGGACTATTTTGAAGTTGTGGTGCAGTAGTATGCCATTATTTTTTAAAACCATTTCACATACTGTGCAGGAATATACCCAAGAACAATCCTAACTACATTAAGCTATGTACTGTATAGTGTATTTCCTTAGGCTACATTATAAATCAGATGACTTATATACAGTATATATATTTTTTTTTTTACAGGACAAAAACATGCCCCGCAGTGTGATCTTGAATTGGTTGTAGCCCAAAACATATTCAAGATCACACTGTGGGGCATGTTTTTTTTCTTCTCGTAATTAAAAAAAGATTATATTACAAGGCATAAACCACTGTGAAGTTCTGAGGAAATATTTGATTTCCCTGTCAAAGCAAATCAATGAACTCATCCATCCACATTTCACTCTACACCAGCTGTCCTCACAGACCAGTGCACCATTAACTATCGCTTTCACATAATCCTTAATGCACTGTTTTTGTTTTTCAGGAAAGCATTTTTCACAGGATTGTGTTTTTGATCCAAGGAACACATTGCCAAAGAGCCAGGGAGATCCCCAGCCTAAGTTCATTAAATCCCCAGCTAGGTCCATCAGTATGTGTGTACAGTAGGCAAAGAGTTGTTTCAGTTTCTGGATGAGATGACAGTTGAGTACAGCACACCATGCAGGAACAGAATCGTAGGTAATGCCTCCTCGTTAGTCACTGTGTGTATGTGTGTGTATTAGATGTACGCTTGACCTTTACCAGATTAATTCAGTATCTGTCACAAATGGTGACCTCAGCCATCCTTTCCCCTGTCATCTCCCAACATCCACTGGGTCGAGAGTGTGAACTGGTACTTGAAACATCTGTGCAAACTGATTGATTATGTCTACACTCCCGCTCAGCCCAGTCAAAGCTCTTCTCTGTCCTGGCACCCCAATTGTGGAACGAGCTTCCCCCTGAAGCTAGGACAGCAGAGTCCCACCCCATCTTCCGAAAACAACTGAAACCCTGTCTCTTCAAATAATATCTTAAATAAGACATCTTAGTCTCTCCCCCTCAACCCAAAAAATAAAAAATGAATTGCACTTGTCTTTTCCTACTAGCACTGAATTTGCTGTTAACTACTGTATTGAGTAAAAATGTACTTACTACAACTGTGATAAGCTATCTTATTTTTTTTGTGATTACGATCTTGTCTCATCACTGCAACTCCCCAACGGGCTTGGGAGAGGCGAAGGTCGAGTCATGCGTCCTCCGAAACATGACCCGCCAAACCGCGCTTCTTAACACCCGCTCACTTAGCCCGGAAGCCAGCTGCACCAATGTGTCAGAGGAAACACTGTTCAACTGACGACCAAAGTCAGCCTGCAGGCGCCCGGCCCGCCACAAGGAGTCGCTAGAGCACAATGAGCCAAGTAAAGCCCCCCAGCCAAACCCTCCCCTAACCCGGATTACACTGGCCAATTGTGCGCCGCCATTTGGGACCCCCGGTCACGGCCGGTAAGGACACAGCCTGGGATCGAACAGCAGGCTGTAGTGACGCCGCTACAATGTGATGTAGTGCCTTAGACCGCTGCACCATTCGGTAGTCCCTCAACTAGCTATCTTAAGGTTAATGCACTTACTCTAAGTAGCTTTGGATAAAAGCATCTGCTAAATTACTAAAATGTAAATATAAATGTCTAAGTGCCTTGACAAACCCACAGCTAGAGCTGCACTTGGCATGAACACGTCATCTCAACAACATACCAGGAATGAACAAAATCCCTTTAACCTTTTACAGGAATTTACCTTGAAGTTCTTGGTGTGCCACACTATTTATAGTAAACAAGGCTACCTGGGTTTTAACTCACCTGTGGTAAGGCCAGAAGCACGCTAAGGCCCCAGGCCAAACCCAGCATCCTCTTGTTCCTGTGGTGGGAGTTGAGTGAGTCCAGCGGGTGCAGGATGGCGTGGTGCCTGTCCAGACTGACCACCACCAGAATGAAGGCTGACGAGTGCATGGCAAACAGCTTGAGGAAGCACAGCATCTTACACATGGCGTCTCCGCCATACCACTGCACCGTGATGTTCCAAATGGCGTCCAGTGGCATCACCACAAAGGTCATCATCAGGTCGGCGGTAGCCAGGCTCATGATGAGTGGTCGCAGGTGAGAAGCCAGGCGCCGGCCACGCCCCCGGCACACACTGACCAATAACGCAAGGTTGCTGCAGGCAGCAAATAGGAAGAGGATTAAGGTGGCGCAGACACGGAATTGGGCGGCTCGGGTGAAGGTGGGCGCCTCCCAGTCAACCAGAGGGGGAAACTGGGACATGTTTGAGAGGGCAGGTTGCATTGATCCGGTGGCACCCGCTAATGTAGGCCTCAGGAGGGACAGGTTGCCAGACATCCTGGGTTGGAAAAGAAAAGGGTTATATGAATGACTGTAGATTACAAAGTAAAACATGTATGTCATTATCGTCATTACATACATTATTATCATATGCACATAAAAGTTTTTATGCGCCGTCAGTTATTCTATGTTGCTCTGGATAGGATAAGTGATTATTAATGTAAAATAAGACTTCAGGCGACTGAATAAACAGCATACACTACATCAAGATGGTTGTTTTTAATTTCATCATTTAGTCCACCAAACAACTCATCAGAGAGAAGCGTACCCACTGGGCACACCACGATATTTCAACGTGGAAAATGTGGTAATATTTGGTTGAGACGTTGATCAATGAGATTACAACATATTCACCCACTCAAACAGATGGTTGAATTGCCAATGTGTTATCACTATGCTTTCAACCATCTAAAAGCACAACCAAATTCCAATGGAAAAACAATGTCTGATTTTTGGATTAATTGTCACCCAAATGTCTATCACTGCGCTTTCAACCATCTAAAAGCACAACCAAATTCCAATGGAAAAACAATGTCTGATTTTTGGATTAATTGTCACCCAAATGTCTATCACTGCGCTTTCAACCATCTAAAAGCACAGCAAAGTTAAAATGGGAATACAGTGTCAGATATTTTGTTTAATGTGTTATCACTGTGTTTAATTAATCTAATAGAAAACCAAATGACCTGTATTGCAGTTGAGAATACATTAATGCCGTTCGAGATTCTGTGCAGATTGTTACAGCAATTGTGAAGATCTCCATAGACCTGCAACGTGCTACGCATACTATCTTTAACATGCATGCTTTATTTGATTACATAAGAAGAAATGTATAGTTACAATAACCTCAAAATGTGCCAATGGACGTTTTACAAATTTTAAGGTTGAATGTAACATTAGTTTGCAAGATAGCCTAAACTTTAGGCTATTTACTGTATTACAAAAGTAATATTAAATTCTGTTTGGTTGACAACGCAACCAAATATCAACATTTAAAGGAGATGTATATACTGCTTGGATAGTTAGATCTAAGCCACTGTCTTAATCCGATTCTTTAATTTATATTTTTGGTTGAGTTGGAGACGTGAATCCAACATATAATTTGTTAACCTTTGGACAAGTTAATAGGCAATTTATTGTATTTCAAAAGTGATATTGAATTGTTTTTGGTTGTCAATGCAACCAAATATCAACATTTGAAGGAGATGTATATTCTGCTTGGATAGTTCCATCTGTGCCACTGACTTAGTCTGGCTTTAATTCCAGTTTGTCTACAAATTAATAATTGATATGTTGGATTCACGTCTCCATCTCAATAAAAAATTTACGTTAAAGAATAAGACTAAATCAAATCATACTTTAAATGCACTTCAAACAAAGTTTGTATTTTCAATTTTTTGTTGAATTCTGGGTTTAATTGAAACAATAGCTGTTGATGACTTTGAAAATGCTATACAGGCCTAAATAGCATCATTGATGTTACAGTGGGGAAAAAAGTATTTAGTCAGCCACCAATTGTGCAAGTTCTCCCACTTTAAAAGATGAGAGAGGCCTGTAATTTTCATCATAGGTACACGTCAACTATGACAGACAAAATGAGAAAAATAAAACCAGAAAATCACATTGTAGGATTTTTAATGAATTTATTTGCAAATTATGGTGGAAAATAAGGATCTCACCCCGTGGGGTCAAAATGATCACAAGAACGGTGAGCAAAAATCCCAGAACCACACGGGGGGACCTAGTGAATGACCTGCAGAGAGCTGGGACCAAAGTAACAAAGCCTACCATCAGTAACACACTACGCCGCCAGGGACTCAAATCCTGCAGTGCAAGATGTGTCCCCCTGCTTAAGCCAGTACATGTCCAGGCCCGTCTGAAGTTTGCTAGAGTGCATTTGGATGATCCAGAAGAGTATTGGGACAATGTCATATGGTCAGATGAAACCAAAAAACTTGTTGTGTTTGGAGGACAAAGAATGCTGAGTTGCATCCAAAGAACACCATACCTACTGTGAAGCATGGGGGTGGAAACATCATGCTTTGGGGCTGTTTTTCTGCAAAGGGACCAGGACGACTGATCCGTGTAAAGGAAAGAATGAATGGGGCCATGTATCGTGTGATTTTGAGTGAAAACCTCCTTCCATCAGCAAGGGCATTGAAGATGAAACGTGGTTGGGTCTTTCAGCATGACAATGATCCCAAACACACCGCCCGGGCAACGAAGGAGTGGCTTCGTAAGAAGCATTTCAAGGTCCTGGAGTGGCCTAGCCAGTCTCCAGATCTCAACCCCATAGAAAATCTTTGGAGGGAGTTGAAAGTCTGTGTTGCCCAGCGACAGCCCCAAAACATCACTGCTCTAGAGGAGATCTGCATGGAGGAATGGGCCAAAATACCAGCAACAGTGTGTGAAAACCTTGTGAAGACTTACAGAAAACATTTGACCTGTGTCATTGCCAACAAAGGGTATATAACAAAGTATTGAGAAACTTTTGTTATTGACCAAATACTTATTTTCCACCATAATTTGCAAATAAATTCATTAAAAATCCTACAATGTGATTTTCTGGAGAAAAAAAATCTCATTTTGTCTGTCATAGTTGATGTGTACCTATGATGAAAATTACAGGCCTCTCTCATCTTTTTAAGTGGGAGAACTTGCACAATTGGTGGCTGACTAAATACTTTTTTCCCCCCACTGTATATGAGTGATAAAGTATGGTCACATTTAATTTGCTCTGTTAAACCTACCCTTTGGAATGACTTCGATAGCAACAGTGAATCTATTTAGTTTTAAGTGGAGATCTCCCACCAATAATTCTCACGATAGCACATTGGTAATACTCAGTGACAAATATCATAGCTAAGCAGGGCTGGGTTTGGTTAAAACCTAAAAACCCTGGATGGGAGACCAAAGGGTAGATTCTCCAGAAGGAGGTGCTGCCCAGCCTATTGGTTTTTTTTCTGATAGTGGATTTTTTTACATTGAAGATCTGACGTTGTTTTAAAGGTAAAAATTCAACATATTTTACACAAAGGTTGTCTATGTTTAAATTTGGTTACCATGATGACATAATCCGGAGGCAGAAATGTCACCCTCAAAACAACAGCTGATGATTTTCCACGCATCCACACAATACGTTGACAAATTAAGTTGAAACAACATTTATTCAACCAGTTTGTGCATGGTGGGCAATGGCATCAAGATGATAAACAATTATCCCGCTGACAGAATCGCAGAGTGACATATTGTAATCTCTTGGTAATCAGAATATGACGCTGCCTGTTATTGCTCAACTATACACAGAAGGCCAGTGGAGATGTATGGGTATTCAACACACTGTTTCTCACTAATGAGACACGAGGCAGCCTCCCCTGCTAATAACAAACCTCTGCAGTATAACTCACACAGTAATCACACCAGCACTGCATCTTCCCCACTCATAACTGCTGTTTTTATGGCTCTAGTTGGCCTCCCAAATATCCCTCTATTCTGTTGGCTAGACACAGGTTTGGCATGTCAGCTAAACTCTAGTCCCAGTGTAACATATTTATCTGAAGTCTTGAACACCAGGAAAAAGGCCATATAGATGCTACTGTACTTTTCACGACAGATGTTTGTGAGGAAATGTACATAGGATGTATGTTTGAATGGAATGCTCTGTGTGGAATTGGACTTGGGATAAATGCACTGTACTGAAAAAACAGACATTAAATCCTATGCTCAATAAGCAATACAGGACCCGCTGTTTCAAATAGGCTGTAGTGTTGGTGAGAAGCATTGCAATCATTACTTTGGAAGAAAACAGTGATCCAACCTGATCCGATTCTGTGACCCCAATGGGGTTGTAATAGAGGCCTACCTACCAGTAAATAACCGTGTTGACTCTGACCATGATGGATCTTTTTTATACCTCTTTATGGCCAATGCAATCAGCCCACACACAGAGCACAATAACCTGGCCTGTGTTGCATCCTAGCCTCAGAGGACTGCAATTAGTGCCCTAAAGCATCATTGTGTGCACTGTTTGTGGACTGTGATTCATAATGGCACAGTGACGTACAGTACAGCATGGACCATAGTGGGGGAGAGAGATGTCTTTGCACATCAAAGTGTAATGACAAAGCCTCAAAGTGAGAGGCTGATCCAGGAGGACTTCATGTATATCACACACATACAGTGCCTTGCAAAAGTATTCATCCCCCTTTGCATTTTTCCTATTTTGTTGCATTACAACCTGTAATTTAAATGGATTTTGATTTTGATTTCATGTAATGGACATACACCTAATAGTCCAAATTGGTGAAGTGAAATGAAAAAAATAACTTGTTTCAAATAATTCTAAAAAATTAATAATGGAAAAGTGGTGAGTGCATATGTATTCACCCCCTATGCTATGAAGCTGTCGCTGGGCAACACGGACTTTCAACTCCCTCCAAAGATGTTCTATGGGGTTGAGATCTGGAGACTGGCTAGGCCACTCCAGGACCTTGAAATGCTTCTTACGAAGCCACTCCTTCGTTGCCCGGGCGGTGTGTTTGGGATCATTGTCATGCTGAAAGACCCAGCCACGTTTCATCTTCAATGCCCTTGCTGATGGAAGCAGGTTTTCACTCAAAATCTCACGATACATGGCCCCATTCATTCTTTCCTTTACACGGATCAGTCGTCCTGGTCCCTTTGCAGAAAAACAGCCCCAAAGCATTGATGTTTCCACCCGAATGCTTCACAGTAGGTATGGTGTTCTTTGGATGCAACTCAGCATTCTTTGTCCTCCAAACACGACGAGTTGAGTTTTTACCAAAAAGTTATATTTTGGTTTCATCTGACCATATGACATTCTCCCAATCCTCTTCTGGATCATCCAAATGCACTCTAGCAAACTTCAGACGGGCCTGGACATGTACTGGCTTAAGCAGGGGGACACGTCTGGCACTGCAGGA